GTGGCCCAGGTCAGTGCAATGGCACATAAACAACCAGATTTGTAAGTTTTAGAGGTGACAGCTGTCACATAGGAAAGCAAAATCAAGCACATATGCTGCCATATGGGTGAGACATGAACATGGAACATGCAGTTGTCATGTGTGAAGCCTGCCTTGGATGTGACAGTTGAAGCAAAGCTTATGTCTGTGCTAGACTTTCGTTTGTATTTGCATTATAGTTCACATAAGTTTTTGTTGTTGTTTGTGTATTTAGTACAGGGTCTACAGGGTCGCACTACACATATTGGATTTAGTAATCCTCCTGTTTTCAACCTCCCAAGCACTGAGATTATAGACATGCATCACAACACCCAGTATCAGTTTCCATATCAGCACACGCCTCCAGGGATCAAACCTCAGTCCCTGCATCTGCCTAAGCCGTCACTTTAATCCACTGCACTATCTGGCCAGCCCTACACAGATTTTTATTTTTGATGTTATCTTTTAAGTTTTATAAGCAGATAGATAACTTATTTGAAAATGTTGATAAGTATTGTAAGCATTCATTACATGTTTGATATTTTATTTTATTGATGTCTTATTTTCCTGCTGAGTGCACATTGTACAATATAGTAAGAAGCTCCTGACAAAGGAACAAGACCTGTGGGATATCATATTAGAATTTTCTGAGAATTTGTCTAATGAAGAAAAACAGATCTTTCTTTTAAAATTACTGATTATACAGTTATGTTTGTGCAAGGGTTAAGCAAGTCATACTCAATTTAGTATGGATTTTGGGTAAGAATGTTACCCTTACTATAAAACCATTTCAGAGTAATCCTGACGTCTTTCAGATTTCTCTATTTTTATTGCATTAACTCTAATTCAGGAGCAGGACTGTGTGGTGTATGAACATACATTCCTAAGTGCTGAGATGGCAAAGGAGTGTTCTGCACTCTGTTTCAATTAAACATTCTCATAGACAAGTCTAAAGATGGAGAAAGAGATCTGTAACATCTCATAAACTCTAGGGAACAGTTTCATGTATCCCATACATGGTAATAATTGAGGCTTTGAGAATTTTTCTTTTCTTAACATGAGTTGCATGTTTGGGATAGAGTAAGACCTTATCACCCAAACTACATGTCCTTGAAATACCACATTTGTGGCGAATCTTTCGTGTTCTGTTCTGTTCATATTTTTTTTTTTTAAGAGGTAGTAGTTTAAATTGTATTTCGGGGTAAACTAGACTTGGAGATCATCTCTTTCCATTTTGCTTCTAAGGAAATAGTTCAGCAAATACTCTTGCTTTGATATTCAGATTGAGGCAAAGTTAGGGGCAGATTCCTGGTCTCTTGCAGAATTCCCATTTTCTTTGGGTTTGTGTCTTATTTGAGGACAGCGTATGTTTATGGTTTTTTTTTCCCCCCACAGAACCAGGGATTGAACTCAGGCCCTTGTGCTTGCCAGGGAAGCACTTATTCCACTGAGCCATCTCCCCGGCCCCAGGACAGCTTATAACAAAAAGACTTTGAGATAAGCTATCAAATACAGCGGTACCTGAATTCACAAATGCTTTTGTTTCTGAACAATTTGGTTGCAAACAAAAGTGTTGGGCAAAATTTTGTTTTTGTTTGCAAACTACATCAAGTAATAAAGGTGACTGTGACTATCTTTTTCTTTCTTTTCTTTTTTTTTTTTTTTTCAGAACTGAGGATTGAACTCAGGCCCTTGCGCTTGCCAGGGAAGTGCTTATTCCACTGAGCCATCTCCCCGACCCCAACTGTGACTATCTTGACTCTACAAACATGGCTAGCTTTTCCAAAATCTTGGAAAAAATTAAGCTGTGAAGTGAGGTACCATTGTAATGTGATTCCCGGTTAGGTAGAGATGTGCTCCTACCCAAAAGACTAATGAAAGTGTGACTTTTTCCTAAGGACATTCTAATAGAATGGTTCTTAGAGACTACCTTGATCTCCAGATGGCTAACATATAAGCTAGATTTCTTTTGATTCCTCTGACTGGAAGAACTGAACTCGGAGAACCAATATAGGGTGCATTGTTGACTTCTTTTATTTTAGCAGTACTTAACCTCCTGAATTTCTAGACTTAGGTTCTGATTCTATGGTTAATGTCTTCACCTCCTGCAAGACACCAGAGCTGACCATTATTGTGAATATTGTGCTTGGTAAGCACTGTGTAGGTTCTTTTGAATAAAGATGCATACTTTAGTAGTCACTATTTCGTACATTATAAGTTATAAATTTGATCATCTGAAAATATTAGAATTGATTTTTTTTAAGCGAGCAAAATTATTTCCTTTTTATGTTAAAGTGCTATTGATAAACCTTCACGTGTGCTCTCTCTACCTATCTTGCAGTGTGCCGAGATTTTGCTGTCCTGGAGGACCATACCCTCGCTCACAACTTGCAGGAACAAGAGAGTGAGTAGTAGCCCTCATTTTGTGCATTCAGTTTTGTTTGTTCAGTGGTAGCTTGAAGCTGTTTTCTTAGGGTAAAGTAGAGAGACAACACGGTCCTTAAGCTACACCTTAAATCTGTGCTGGAAGATTTGTCCAGCCAAATGATGGATGGGAAAAAAATGAATTTATGAGGGTCTTGAGTCAGAAAGGCTATCAAAGATTGTAAGATTGATGGGTTTGTAAGAGGAAAATAGGAACTTGAACCTTTTTTTCTCTGTTGAAGAAAGTAGACAGTAATATTGTCAGAGGCTGAGATGTTATTCTTGACTCCTGAATAGAGCCTGAATATCTTTTTTCAGGCCAATGTGCAGATTTTTTGAAATATTTTGCATTGTTCTGGTGGAAAGTAAGTTGAGGTTATGTACAGACAGTGTTTGTATTTGTAATTTTTAAATAATTAATTCATTTGCCAATATAAAAAAATTGAAGAGTTCAGCTAATAAATAGAGTGGCAATGTGCTGTAATAGAAGGCACATTGATCCTGCCTGAGAATATTTGTATAGAAGTTTTTCATCTTTTTTTTTTTTTTTTTTTTGGCATGGGACTAAAGACAAATTATTTAATCTTTTTGGTCCACATTTTACTTAGTAGTATATGTGAAGCTCCTTTTAATATTAATCCTATTTTTAATTTTCTTAAGTTATTTACTTTCTAGAAAGCCTAAATATTACAATTCCTCTCTTCAATCATTTTGTCCCAGTTGAGCATCATTTGGCATCAAACATTCAGAGGAACCGTTTGGTCCAGCATGATCTCCAGGTGGCAAAACAACTCCAAGAAGAAGATCTGAAAGCACAGGCTCAGCTCCAGAAGCGTTACAAAGACCTGTGAGCATTTGGGGAATGGGAGGCCTTGCTGTCACAATTATGGAGCCAGCAAGCACCTCAGCCCGGGCTGCAGAGCTTTTCTGTGTCTTTGTTTATTTATTTATTTATTTATTTAAATTTTATTTATTTATGTGTGTGTGTGTGTGTGTGTGTGTGTGGCCAGCTCAGGCCCTCAGGGGGCGGCCCTGGCTGGCATGAGGTGCTGGGGGATCGAACCGGGGTCCCTGTGCTTTCCCAAACTTGTTCCAAGTAGGTGCCTTAGACCACTGAGCCATCTCACCAGCCCTTTCTGTGTCTTTGATTCCTTCCCTGCTAGGTTACAAATCCTACAGTGACTATCAAATCCTGTGGTTCTTTTTGCTAATAAAACTTTGTTATTGGAGAATTTGACTAGGTTTTGGGGCATGTAGGTAATGTTCTCTTCTCACATTTTAAGCCTTGTGAGTCAATTGATTGACTGCTCTTGAATTTATTTTTCATATCCATAGCAGAGGGAAAATACTTTGTCTTCTTCCTCACAATTTGTTTAGGGGACCCAGTGAAATAATAGGTATCAATGAAATTTATGAATTGTCTTGAGTTCCTTTACTGTTTCCTACCATATGTTTGCTGCTCTTTCCTTGAATTCCTTTCATTTTAAGAAACAGAATGTTCTAGAAAGCTCTGAGTTATGCACACAGTTCTCTGCATAACTTCAGCATCTGACCAAACTCAGTTTTCTCTCTTAACATATAAATAGAAATAATTATTTATAAAAATCCTCCCAGTATGATGACTTTTTACTCTTTTGTCTTATTTTAAAGCTTGCAGGATATGTTTCTTGTCTGAGGGTGGCTTTCATAACCTAAACCTTTATGGGGCTATTTAACCACGTACTATCATGTTGAGGGGCAAAAATAAAGGGAGATGTGAAAAAGACCTCTTTTTTTTTTTTTTTTAATTTTAATTTTATGTGGCTGGGTCAGTCTGCCCTGGGGGAGGGGCTGGTGAGACATGTGGTGCAGGGGATAGAACCGCCCTCCCTGTGCTTGCCTAAGCTTGCCTAAGCTTTCCTAAGCAGGTGCTTGAGACTGCCAGGCTATCTCACCAGCCTTCATTTACTTCATGTTCAAATAACTTAGGCAAGTCTGTATCAGTTTTGTTGCATATGAAGAATGTTGTGTCTTTTTATTATTTGTAAGGGGGATTTTAGTTTGCATTTTTTCAGCTTTTTTATTCTGCAAAGAAACATTATATATTTACCAAATTTGGTACCATGAAAGGAATTGGAACCTACACTGGAAATAAGGTACAGCCATTGCCTTGAACAACTTCAGAAAAATAGCAAAAATACTATGTAACTAGATGTACATGTTTGTCACAAAGAATTCAATTGAATATTACATGTATACTTTAAAGAAAGAGAGACTAGGAAAGGTTTTATAAGATAGGTAAGGTGGGTTTAATCTGAAACTTTATGATTCATTAGGATATTGTAGTCAGAAGGAGTAGTATGCATAAGAGAGAGATAAAAGGCCTTGCAATCTTGTGGCAATTGTAAACACTGAATACTGTTGAAGTAGAGATTATGACTAGGGGTGAAACTAGAAGGTCAGACCAGTAAAGTAATACAAAAGTTAGACCACAAAGGTCATGTAACAGACATTAGGAAATTGCAGTTTATAGGGAATATAGAGTCATTTAGGGAATTTTAACTTGTCATTTGGGACCTACTGTGGGAACTGGGCAGGAAAAGATTTGGAAGGGAATATTGAAGGCAAATATTAGGCAATCATCAAATTAAGATATGTTCAAGTCAGAATTGAGGATGTTGGTGATGGTGATATATTTGAGGTGTTCTGAGGCTCATTGTTACATCAGGAGGTAAAGAAAGACCCAGAGCTAGAATTTTCTGGAGTTCTAAATTGTCACCCCCCACTTTTATATTATTCACAATTCTCTGAGAGGAAGAACTTGTCTTGAAGTTGAAGAAGTTTAAAGCCCTAAATTAAGGTAATTACAGTGAATATAATGAACTTACTCAGAAATTATTGGGACAAAACATTGTAAAATAAAAATTAGGAGTCATAGGGATAGCTTATAGATCTTAGAACAGGTGTAGTATTTTTGCATGACAATGCACGGTTTCAGAAGCATGTAGTGGGGCCGGGGGTACAACTCACCTGCCTGGCAAGCTTAAGGTCATGAGTTCGATCCTTACTCCTGCCAAAAAAACAAAAACAAAAAACCAAAAACCCCAAAAAATTGCCAGAAGCATGTAGTAAGTTAGAAAGTAGGATTTTCAGTCTTTACTCTCTGGCATTCTTGACAGCTGGGCCTCATGGAAGGGATGAAAAATGCTATGAATTTTAATCAACTGGATTCTTCCACTTGGCTTGGGTCCTGGTGCCACTGTTCAAAGTCACCGTATTAGTTATTTACTATTCCTTTCTAACATATTTTACTTTGGCATGATTCTGTATAATTAGCTGTCTGAAACAGACCTAGTCCTTTGGAATATAGTTTGAAATCATTAAGCTTAACTTAAAATTTACTTTTTAATTTTTTATTCCAGGAGATGCATATTCTGTGTCACTTGTAACCTTGAAACATCTCATTTGCACTTGCTTTCTCTACTGTTATGTTTTTGTTCAATTTATTGCCTTGCATATAATTAGTAGTCATTACTCCTGTATAGATTTACATTTCTGGGGAAGTCCAGCTAGAGAAGTCTTTAGGAACTAAGATTATGGTATAATATATGGTTTTTAATTATGATGAAAAAAATAAGTAAAATGCAAGAGAAAAGTAAAATTTCTGCATAAGGTTTTATTTAACTACTTTGGTTTGAATAGTTAAGAATCTGAAATTATTTGTCCTGCAACAAGTCATTAAGTCCAAACTTTTCTATAGCTGATAAAATAGCAGGCAGAGGCATGGTTTACAATTGGTAGTGGTAGAAGCAGGACCACAAACAGGGTCTATGGATTTATCCAGTGATTTTTCTTCTCATTCTAGAAAGTAAAGTCTTGCTATTTCTTATTTGAGCTTTCAGACTTGTATCCTCTTGCCCTCTTTCTACCTGTATGTGTGTGTATGTATACATACACTTTCATCCACAACTGCATACTTCCAAGTGGGTTGAAAATGCCCATTTCCCCATACAAATAAGTATGATTTTCATACCCTCATTTTTATTTGAATAGAATATTTAGGTTTCATTTCATCCATAGAAGTCTAGATACTGTACCCCCGAGTTCCTGTTCCTTTCTTTCCCCAGTACTAGGGATTGAATTCAGGATATTCACACTGAGCTACATCCCCAGCATTGTGGGGTGTGTGTGTGTGTGTGTGTGTGTGTGTGTGCGTGTGCGTGAGTGCGCGTTTAATTGTTTATCTTGAGACAGGATCTTGCTAAGTTGTTCAGGGTGGGTTGGAACCTGCCTCAGCCTCTCAGAGCGTTGGAACACAGGTATGGACCACCATATATATTTGCAGTTCTTAGTGACCAAAGAGTGACATTAAACCTGAAAATATACAAGCAAGTCTGAGACACACTGAGCATTTTAAATTCAATTCTCCGGAGAAGAATGAAGGGATGTATTAATAAATACATAGCAAAGTACAACATATGATAAATTGCACTTGGAATTTTATTCCAGCATCTTTTTAAGTAGTCAGATCTAGCATGTTTTCACTCATTCCTCGCTAGTAACTTAGTGTAAAAGATGGCTTCCTAGAACTATCATGTAGAATTTTAAGTCTTCCTGATTTGTCTTGAAACTTGAAATCAGACTTCAGCGTCTAACACCAGACCTTAGTGGTTTCTGAGAGAAGCAGCCTCCATTTTCCATGGAACTGTTGTTTTAAAAGTACTACCTGGAAGCACTTTTGTTCACCGACATGATTGCCCTTGTTTCTACGTCCAGAATGTAATATATGCTTCAGAAGACAGGTGGAGAATTCATTTACTTTTGTATCCTCAGTGTTGTGCATAATGGTCTTCAGCAATTTGTGTTCATTATTTTTAGGGAAAACAATTCCTTATTTTCTTTATTTATATTATTTTCATCTTTGTTTTTTAGAGAACAACAGGATTGTGAAATTGCTCAAGAAATTCAAGAGAAGCTGGCTATTGAGGCCGAGAGACGGCGCATTCAGGAGAAGAAAGATGAGGTATAACTTGGTTGACGACCCACCAGTCCAAGAGGAAAGGGTGTTCAGCTCTGGGGTAAAGCTTGCTGTACTCACCAGCTCAGTGTAGGCTTGTTGCATGAGCAGCAGAGCTCTCCTTGCTTAAGGTACAGTAGTCTAAGCTTTGCCCTCCATAGACCACTTTGATGCCTCCTGGTCGATTGCTTAAGTGAAGTCTTGAAGAATGGAAGTGGAGAATTTGGTGAATGATGTGCCTTAGTCTCTTAGGACTGCTAAAACAAATTCACAAACTTGATGAATAGAACAAATTTTTTTTTTAATCTGGAAGCTAGAAATATAACATCAAGGTATTGACTGGTTCATACCTTCTGGAGAGAGGTCATTCCTGTGTCTCTGAGCTCCTGGTGATGCCTGGTAGTCTTTGGCTTATAGCCTCATCCCTTTAGCCTCTGCCTTGTCATGTGAACCGCCTTCCCTCTGTGTAGCTTTGTGTCCTCTGATCTTCTGTAAAGTTAACTGAATGCTGATAGAGCGCCCACTGTAGTCCAATATGACCTCAGCTTCTAATCACATTCCTAGAGGAATTGTTAACTTCACTAAAGGTTTCTGTACCTAGTGTTCTTTTTTTTTTTTTTCTTTCTTTTTGTTTTGTGGTACTGGGAATTGAACTCAAGACCTTGCGCTTGCCAGGCAAGCACTTATTCTACTGAGCTATCTCCCCAGCCTGTCCCTAGTGTTCTTGCAGCTTCAAGGACAGTAGACTTTGTGTGGAGCCCAAACTAGAAATAAGGGTTATTCTGTATGAGATACTAGTGGCTGACATTCTCTCATTTTCTTTCTGAAAATGTTTTCATCTTTCTTTGATCATGTGGCTTAAATAACTAATCTGTTTGATTTTATATTTATTTTCACGTTTCACTCTTTCGAAATTGAAAAATGACAGTTAGTAGTACAGTCATACCCTAGTTCTTGCCTGCTTTGAAACACATCAGTCTTGACTTGAGGAATTTTGATGTGAACATTTTGCACAAGTACTTGCTTTCTGTGTAGCACTCAGTTCACAAGCTAGAACTTGTCAGTGACAATTGCCTGATTCACTGCTCTCTCCAGCCAAAATGATTCATTTCATATTCTTGGTTTTTGGTACTTACTGATAAGTTCAGGGTACCACTGTAGTACTTGGCTTATGAGAACAATTGGACTTATAGTTAAATATTTGCTTTTGTGTTATGTATTTGTGGTGCTAAAACAGTTCATTTCAGTTTGTATCTAATCTTGTGTGTCCCTTTCTTCATATCTACTGAGCTTTTCTTCTGTTCCTTTATTTTTATGTTTCTGTTACTGAAAATTGGGCCCAGGGCTTTCATACTAATCTATGTCCCCACCTATTTTTATTTTTTGAGACAGGGTCTCAGTGTGTTGCTAAGTTGTCAAGGCTGAGCTCAACCTTGAGATTTTCTTGCCTGTCTCCCTGAGGGTGGGAATTTCAGATGTGCACCATCATACCTGGCTTAGCTGTTGTCTTGATTGCAATAAACAAGAAAGTGATTTTTCATTTTTAATAGGATGGTCATATCACTTACTAGGCACATAGAGGCCACTTTGAGAGTTAAGGGTTGCTTTTAATAAGTTTTATTAATAGGAACTGTGCCAGACAAACTGGCATGTATGACCATCCTGTTAAACAGATGTGATAAAGGATATGTCTCCAGTACACAAGCCTACACCCACTGCTTCTTTCACTGAGTTCTTGTTCAGTGTCAGATACCTGAGATGACTGTAGTTAGTTGTTTGCATAGGAAACCACAATTTTGTGATAAAACTGCAAATGAGAAGTAGGGGTTATTTTAATCATTCTTGTTGTCAACACAACAGGCTCTTTCTTCCTACAGGATGTGCTGGCTCTTTATAAGAAAGACCTTGCTTGGGGATGAAACTGGGGCTGAAAGAAGTGATTCTATTTTGTAGACAGGAAAGCTTCTATTTTAGAAGTAACCATGAACATTTATAAATGCTATGAGTGTCTTGTATTCCCCCTCCATGCTGAAAAAAACAAGACAGAAAGAGAAAACAAAATTTTTTCTTTTAAGCTTGCAGAGTCTGAACAGCAATAAAAATAAATTAATATATTTGTCAATTGAAGAAATTAAGTCATGAAGACAGGACTAGTCTCACAAGTTTCATCAAGGTCCCAGAGAAATGACTGACTTAGATATGCTATGGTATATACTACTTGTGGGCTCTGAGGTGACTTGGGCATGTGTATTAGCTCTTTGACTTTTAGCTGTGTGACTTACAGCGTCTCACATAATACGTAGAATCCCCTAGGTTTCAAAATGGGAGAGAAGTGTTTGTTGAACATACCCTAAAAGACTGTTGAGAGGATTCAATGAGATCATATATGAGAGCTCTAGTTCATATGAAGTTAACAATTCCTTTTTTCTTGTTGGTTTCCTGCCAGGCTTTTTTTTCTCATAGTTCCACCTCTTATACAATTGTTCAGAATTAGGGGAGAAATAAAGAGGTTCAAGTGTATTCCAGTATAGCATCATTGGAAGGGTGTTAAGTATTTACCTGCCTTTCCAGGCATTACATTGATTTTTCTCCACTGTATTTGTCCAACTGAAATATTTACCCTTCCAGTAGATTGGGAAAATTAAATGAGAAATATGTTGTGAAAATGAGATAAGCCTTTGAAAAAATCCATTTAGTTTTTTTTAACAATGATCTTTCTTTTCTTTTCTCTTTTTTTTTTTTTTTTAATTTAGATTTTTTGACCTTTCAGTTTAGGCTTTAGTCTAGAAAATGGTTACTGTGTAAGGAAGTTGTTTTATACGAAAATATGCCTCTTAGTTGGCTAAGATGTTATCAATATTAAATAGAAAAATTGAATACTTAGGTTATCATTAAAGGGTGTGGTAGTGCTGTTTAGTGCATGGGAAACAGGGTGACTCAAAAGCAGAGGAGAGTGAACAGTAGTGCTGATTCTTCTGACCTGTATTTGGAAAAGCACTGTGTGTTTTGCATGAGCTAGTCATCTTTTTTTTTTTTAAAAATTTTTATTTTTTTTAGTTCTATGCTGTTCTTTTTCACTGGCCTAGGGTGTTAGTGGCACCACCAGGGCCCTCCAGACCCTCATACCAGCCAGCACGCAGGCCTGGCGTGTGAGTGGGACCACCCGGGGCCCTCGGGATCCTAATTCCAGCCAGCGCATAGGCCTGGCCTGTGAGTGGACCCACCAGGGCCTCCTGGATCCTCACTCTAGTCAGCATCCATGCCCATCAGACCTGGTGAGGAACCCTGCGGCAGAACTCCCTGCAGAGAGGCTAGAGGCAAGACCCACCCAGCTATTCCGGGGCAGAACATTTTGCCAGAGTGGCACAGCAGATTTACCTCCAAGGGCTGCAGCAAGAAGAATTGGAGATCAGCAGCCAGACCCAAACCACACCCACCTGGACAACTTTGAACATAATAGGTCCAGACCTGGTGCTAAGGTATTAATTCTACCAAAGCTCTACACCAAAGGTCAGAAGACAATGCTATACAAAATGACAAAGAAAAGGAGCAAAATACAGCCTCAGGCCCAGAGCCTACTCAGAACAAATGCAGGAAATGATAGAAGTTGGAAATCATACACCTAATATCTCTAAAACAGTAGCATCTAAAGTAAAGAAACAACTGCAGAAAGGCATAGAGGAAATCAGATCAGAAATAGCTTCGGAAGTAAAAAAAAGAAATGATAAGTATAATGAAAAAAGTACTAAGTACTTCTGCAGAAGACACTGATAAAAAAAATAGAGAATAGAAAAATGATGGAATCCTTGAATAAACAATATGGAAAAGAAATAGAATGCATGAAGCAGATTCAAAGTAATATATAAGAAATTAAAACCTCATCACAAACTGGCAAAACCATTTGAATGAAAGTGAAAATAGACTTTCAGATCTTAAAGACACTATTGCAGCTAGTGAAAAGGTAAGAAAAAATCTCTTAACTAGAATGGAGGCCGGAGAGATGGCTCAGTGGAATAAGCACTTCCCTGGCAAGCGCAAGGGTTCAATCCCTGGTCCCCCCCCCAAAAAAAAAAAACTAGGATGCAGGAAAAATAGTTCAACTCTTTAAGACAATGCAAAGATGAACAATGCAAGACCTATAGGCATCAATGAGAAAGAAGGAGTCAATACAAATGATATAAAAACAATAAGGGCAGAAGTGATAGCAGAAAACTTCCCAAATAATGGGAAACAATCTAGCATTCAGGTAACCAAAGCATATAGAACTCCAAATAACATCAACCCAATTAAAACCACACCCAGACGTATAATAATCAAGATCCCAGAAATTCAGCACAGGAACGGTATACTAAAAGCTGCTAGAGAAAAGAAACGGGTCATATTTAAAGGAAAACCCATCAAAATAATGGCAGATTTCTCTTTACAAACCATCAAGTCAAGAAGAGCATAGAGGGCTGGCCAAATAACTCAGTGGATTAAAGCACCAGCAAGCAGGCACAGGGGCCAGGGTTTTGATTCCCCAGCCTGCTGTGCTGGCCCCACCCCTGGAGTACACTGAGATGGTGATTGAGACTGGGCATGGTGGTATGCACCTGTAATCACAGCACTTGGGAGGCTATAAATGGGAGAATTACTATGAGTCCAATCTAGTAGTGAGACCCTGAACCTGTAGACCCTTCCCTAAAACACACACACACACACTAAAGCTTGGAACAAAGTACTT